AAAAGTCAAACCCAACAACAGGTTGGGTTATCTAGTTGGCTTTGCCAGTTCTTGTCTGTCTCGCGTTTGTCTCTTCTCGTTCAAAGCCAACAAACATATGAAACCGTGAGCAGGAAACAGTGCATTCGTGCGCACAGAGTTATAAAAATCCATGTCTTCAAAACGTTATTAGTTTAACAAAAAAATTAGTTTTTAATCTAATGTCCAATTGTGATTAGTTTACTACAGCTGATAACCAAGTTACAACTCCAAATAAGATATATAAGGTAATTTAACTTATGCTTTTAATTCATTGTTACATACGCAATCCCGCCCTAAAATTTCGAAAGTGGTCAAGTCAAATTGGAATAATGTGACAGCTAAAACTTCAAATTCTTTTTTTTTTTGGTCGAAAAAGTACTTCATTCATTAAGTGCCATAATCAAAGCATAGATGTTCAATATCGAAACATAAAAAATTCAAAAGGGGTTGGGGGGGTTTAGTAATCTAATTAGAGGGGAGAGCATTTTTACGAAAGGTTTTGGCAATCCAATTCACCACATGATTTGCTTTTCGCAAACAGTAGGCCAACGAAGTGCTTTTAAACTAGGCCAAACTCTTTTTGCAATCCTCTATAACAGCCTGGATGCGCCATGGGCTTGAATAAGTGCTTACTATGAACCCACATACTGATAAGCTACTACTTTCGATCTCTACCTTCAGATCAGCTTCTTCGTTCAGCGTAAAGTACGATGCCAAGTTACAGAAACCTTCCTTTAGAGCTAGGGCTTCCGCTTCTTCGGCCGTTGCAGAGGGGATCAAAACTTCAAATTCTATAGGTTTCATGTTCTTTTTTGCAAGACAAGATTCCTCTCGACAGTGAAACTAAATGTCCATTGGAGACTTGAACTGCGAATTGCTCTTCATCTTTTAACCGTGCTTTCACTGTAGCATCGAGTGTGCCCAGAGATGAGAGCCGAACTATCTTTTCCAGACGTATAAAAGCGAGATTGATAGGGTTTGCCTGTATCCGGAACGTCCTCACCAAATTGACATAAAATAACCAAGACGTGAAAAAAGAAAAGGACAATAATGATGATCGTTTCAAAAAAGGAAAAGAAAAATGCGGTGAGCGTGGATCGAACACGCGACCTTCAGATCTTCAGTCTGACGCTCTCCCAACTGAGCTATCCCCGCATGTTGTTAAATCCAGCCAACTCAAGTTATATTAACAAATCTTAAGAAGAACCGCAGCATCCGATTTTTGGAACCCCGCTTAAAAGCTGGATGGATCGCTATTGGGTTTTTAGCTGCATGTCTTTGCTTCGACTGGCAAGTTTGCAATTACAATGTTTGGAACATCCTTTTATCTGTTTTCGTTGGTTTTGTCGTAAAAAATATAAACGCCCGAAAGCGTCATTGCTAATAAGCGAACAACAATCACAACCTGAAGCGAGAAGACACGGTAGAGTATCAAGTGTGAGAAGAACCCAGTATTCAACTGGAACAAGGTAGTAAGTACGAATTCTATTGCCACTTTGCTTTCCCGCATAGACATCGTTGGCTATTGATTCTTGGCAAATCCTTGAGGTAGGTTAATGCGTGTAAGATGATTGAGTACATGCCGATATCGTCTTGCACTATTAGCAAGTTGCATCACCAAAGTTCTTGCTAGCATGCCGGAGCAAATGCTACGATCTTTCATGAGTTACAATCGAAAGTGTCATGCCCAAGATCAGGTTTACTGGCAAGAGAAGACTTGATGGTCATTGAAGTTTTTTTTCCGAATCGCTTGATGGTGCTACCCCAAAAGCAAGAATCGCTTGTTCTGTTCCATTTTTGCTCGACGCATTTATACTTTACAGACGATCTTAGGGTCTTTTCCATGGGTGATTTGGATTCCATTGAGGGTGCTCTTGATGTGTTTCAGCGGCCTAGAAGACTTGCCGGCAGTCGGCGACTGAATCCTTACAAGATCAGAGTTGTTCGTGGTAAACTGCTCTGATATTAGGTAGCTAAGGGCATACTTCCCGTTAAGTATCTTGGGTTGCCTTTAGTTTCAAGATGCTTTCACGTTAACATCGCAAATGGCTCATTGATCGAATTACTGCGCTCTAGTATCTTGTTGGACTTCCTAACACTAAATCTACAAGTAGACTCAATTACGCAATTTACAGCCTTACAAAAGAAATAGCACTTCCATCAGGAAAGGAAGCGCCAATAATGTCGGGGGAGATGGAAACCGGTTGGAAGAGGGAGGATTGGTTTTCGAAGATCGTATCTATGAAATACCGCTCGTATCCTTATACATCTCCAGCACATTATATCACAATCCGACTCGATTCGCGTTAGCCCAGCTCGATGGCTATCCACTACGAAGCTCATGCGATTTGGCTGCTGAACCTACTTGGATTAGCATATATACAAGGAGAGATTAGCTGAATCCTCAAACCTTCCGTCAAACTCGTTATCGCCCTAGGCAGTGGCTGTAATAACTCCTTTGCGGTATTGATCGGTGGCACCATGTGAGTTCTACCTATGATTTATCTGCTACACTTGAAGCACCAAAGTCTCTATCTTCCATTCTAGCTCGACCATGGATAATTAGAAAAGTTAGGGTATGCGGATAGTGAAGATTGCGCAATGCGAGTTCTGCTTATGCTATGTGGACAAAGCGAGTGGTAATTGGAATAGTAAGATGTCATTCGGCTATGCAGATGACGAAAGGGTAGAGATTTCTCGAAAACCCTTTTGAAGATTTGCATGGAGTGGCATACCACATCTGCAGATCTCGCCTCGCCTTGCTTTTATTCGTAATAATATACTCTGCCCGCGGTGGCTGTTGTTGAGAACAACTGTTTTGTAGTGAAAACCAGGCTTGAGCTTGGTAAAGCTTTGAGGAGTCATTGACGCGAGTCTCCGTGCTGGGTGGTCTATAATAATCGAACCCGTGTACTTGTCTCCTTCTTGTTCTCGCTGTGGGGAAAGGGACTTTGAATGAGAATACGAAAATTGTTAAAACCCAAATTGATTTATTTAACCCGTTTTGACCCATTTTATATTCAATACATATTTGGTGACCCATAACCGATCCCGACCCGACCTAGCATCCATTTCTTAACAACTTTTCTCCTTAAAGGTGGTGGATCTTACCCAGGTTACAAGTATTGCCCTCGTTCTTGCGAACTGGTTCACTGGGCATCAGCTGGCCACAAGAAGTTGCCATAATGTGCAAGGATATATGCATACATATGAACATATTTGTACTTGCACTAGTATAGCTAGACCTATTAAACGGATGGGACAGGTCGGGTTTGGGTCGGGTCATAAATGATCCGACCCAACTTGACCCATTTAACTCGTTTATGACTCATTTATTACAAGGCAAAAATCTTGACTCATACCCTACCCGACCCATACCCAACTCATACCCGATCAAACCCATTTAACTAAATCTAGGAAAACTTATTTCTGATAATTATTTTAAAAAACTGAATTGCTAAAACATCTTCATGCAATACAAATCTTTTAAAAAAAACTAAGACTCCGTTTGTTTTGCTCTGGAAAATGTTTTTAAGAAAATGACAATATTTTTCGATATTTAGCTGAAACATAAAAATGAACTAGAAAATATTTTCCACCGTTTGGTATGAAAAATCATATTTTTCTCTATGCACTCATTTTAATATTTTTATTTTTTTAAAAAACATATTTTAATTAATTTTATTTTCTTTTTCTTTTTCTTTTTTTCTTTTCCTTTTTTCTTTTCCATTTTCCTTTTCTTTTTTTCTTTTTTCTTCTTCCCCTGCTGGCAGCCGGCCACGACGACAACCGGCGAGGCTCGAGCTTGCCGGCCACAACCTTGCCGACCTCTAGCGAGCCTCGAGCCTCGCCGATCTAGCAAGACTCGAGCTCGTCGAGCTAGGGCCGGCGCTAGCCTCGGCTAGCCGCTGGCTTAGTGAGGCTTGAGGCTCGCCGATCTAGCGAGCTCGTCCCTCGAGAAAAGTGCAAAAAAAGTCCTTAACCTTTTGCATTTGTGCTAATTTAGTCGTAAACCTTTTTTTGGTGCCAATTCAGTCCTAAATCTTTTGCATTTGTGTCAATTCAGTCCTAAACCTTTTTTTGGTGCCAATTCAGTTCTAAACATTTTGCATTGGTGTCAATTCAGTCATAAACCTTTTGCATTAGTGTTAATTCAGTCCTAAACCTTTTTTTTATGCCAATTTAGTCCAAAAGCTTTTGCATTTGTGCCAATTCAGTCCTAAACCTTTTGCATTTGTGACAATTCAATCCTTCCGGCTAATAGCTATTCACGTATCAAAGGACTGAATTAGCACAAATGCAAAAGGTTTAAGACTGAATTGGCACCAAAAAAACGTTTATGATTGAATTTGCACTAAAAAAACGTTTAGGACTGAATTGGCACAAATATAAAAGGTTTAAGACTAAATTGACACAAATGCAAAAGGTTTATGACTTTTTTGACACTTTTCCCCTCGTCCCTCACTTGTAGCCAGCCGCCAATGGGGGAAGAAAAACAAAGAAAAAAAGAATATAAAAATCATAAAAATCAGAAAATTAAAATAAATTGAAAATTTCACATGAGCTTTTTGGTAACCCATTTAATACCCATGTAAGACCCATTAAGTTAATAAACAACCCATTAATGACCCATTTAAGTCTATTTTTAAAACTAAACCCAACCCATTTATAACCCACAATCATTAAATATGGGTTATTATATGGATTTTTGACCCATTTACCACCTCTAAGCGTAGCCGACTTCATGGTGCCATAGGAAATATTCATTAGTGCTTAAATATGAAGCTTCATGAACATCAACCTTCGGTAGGAGCATCCAGATGTAGTCTTTCATGAGAGTTCAAAGGCTAGAATTATTACACTAACCTATATAGACCAAGTTTCAATACTATATGTCCTTAAAAGCACATTCGTTACCTATTACTTTCTAGTGTCATACAAAAGTACTCGTTTCTATTGTTATTGAGATCGTTCGAATATAAAAGGAGAACAAATCAATCTTAATTTATTCTCATTTTTATAAGTGCATCTCAACAATTAAAGTTTACCCATCATTTGTATATGTAGAGGATTTTCAACCCCATCTTTTGATTAGGATGAAGCGCATCTCAAAATGAATTAACATAAAGAAAGTCATAAAACCACATAAAACTATGGAATTCTCAATTTGCATCTGGCCTCACTGACGCCAACAGATGCCATCTCCAGCTTATCGAAGAGTTGCTAATCACAGTGTGATACTCCTCCTCGCCCTCGCAAAATGACATGGACGCGAAAATCTTGCCCATCCGCTTCATCTCATCGACAAACGCCCCAATACTCTTGCCGCTCTCTCCAAGCAACCCTCTCCCGTAGATCAATTCCAAGCTCACATCCTTCACCAGCCCTAGCCTCCCAATCTCCCCAACCCGAAGTCGGTCAGGTACTTGGACACCGGATTTCGCCTCTGGACCCATTGCTAGCCAGGGGACCGCACCTGGGCCTTGAAGTTGGAGTGGTAATCCTTGGCATGCTCGTGGCGGGTGAACCGGACAATGTAGTTGGTACTCGTCCTGTACGAGGTCAAACTTCGGGTTTCGGGAAGCTGGAGAGAGGGAATATAGCGAAGGAGAGAGATAGAGAGGAGGGCTAGGAGGAGAGCCACCAGCTGAGAGACTCCAGAAGTGATCATGGCAAGTCGGGTGGGGCGATGGTTGTCAGGGGGACGGGGGAGTCGTCGCAGGTTGATTGGTTTGGCAGGAAGTTTGCGACATTGGAAGGAGACTTTGAGCTCCAGATAATGGTGGATCCGCCCGCGAGGCCGGAGGTTTTAAAAACGGAAATGGATTATTTTAAAAGGCTGACCTAATAAGTGGGTGGTTATTAAATGGATTAAAAGTTTCAACACATTGGTTTTGGACTTCTATCTTTAAAACCCATATTGACCTATATTTCGAATTTGACGTGGCCTACATATAACCACTCTAATATGTGAATTAAAGTATGGATTTGTAATCCATTTTGTCAGCCCTATGCATAAGATATCCTTATAGGTCGATTTCACATGGGAATAAGGTGGCCTACATATTTACCACTCTATATGTCCAGCATTGACAAACATTAAATCACCAATTGGAAAATGTTTGGTTTAAGATTGTAGATTTGCAGATTTGCCTGGGCACCATGCTCAGTGAGCCCGTCACCCCAGCCCCCACTGGGATGCATGCGGGCAGGCGGCAGGGCCCATCCTTCAGAGACTAGCCAAGATGCTAATTAGGGTTACTATCTATTGCTGGTAACTATCTATGAACTGTAAACTGTCATTTTCAGCTCGAGATACCTCTACAACTTAATGTAACAGATTCGCTACAACATGGCCATAAAGGAAAATTTGTTTCTTGTGGAAAGTTTACTTGGGAATATGAGAAACTTTCAGGGTAAGATCAGAAGGCTCGCTACCAAACACGCGACGTTGAATCAATGAATTAACAGTGAGTACAAAAAGTTGGCTTTACAGCTAGAGATGAGCTTCAATAGAAAAAATTAACTCATCTCCTCCTAACCTGGAAAATCCCGCCACCAACTGTCGGATTCGGCCAAGAGCTCCCAAGGCATGAAACCATCAGTGCTTTTGCGATTTTAACGTAATTGTTGCTGATTTGGAACTGCATAGCACAGAAGCCACATTCTCCCAATGAGCCAATGCCCGCATTCCAAGTACTGCAGCTTCTTTTTCAGATCCTGAAAAGGAAGAGTGCAACTGAAAGATCCAGCCGGTTTTCTTTAGGTTATGAAAATGGAAAAAGTAAATGATCCCAGAAGCAAACCACCTGAACGATCGAGAACACCTACAACTGGTCATTCTCTCTCAAGGCTTCGAGAATGCTAGCCACCCACCTACCAAAGAATAAAGATTTTAAAAAAATTGAACAGGAAGGAAGAAGGGATATGATAGCGGGGATTGGTTTGCAACTCTATCTTGACAAAAAGATGAAAAAGGAGGATCCTGATACTCATAGAAGTTAAAAAAAAGAAAACAGCAATATCAAGAAAAGAAATCCAGCCATTAAGATCTCCAATTTCTTTGGATGACAAAGAAATGATGCCGAGGACTACAAATAGATCAAGAATATCACTATGTTGTTCATTTAATGCAAAAGAAAATGGTGATAGAGAAATAAAAGTGCCTACTTGTAATAAGAGGACCATTATTTGGGTTATCGTGGATTAAGATATAGAGTCGTATCTCATCAATTAGGGCTCAGCTAGAGTACAATTTTCTGCACATATTTTTCAACCCTGTCCAATGATAACGTCGAGGAGTCAATGCATCAATATATACACTCCACCTAATTTGTAAATTTGGGGAATTGACCTTTATATCAACTTCCCAGAAGCCAGTAAGGCTACTGATCAGTATCTAGTACTGCATCCCATGCCCCAGCATGGGAGGTGTAGCTTTCTAAAGTGAGTTTTCATTGCTTGAACTGTTGCAATGCAATTAGTAAATCGTAAACCATGCATTCTCTAAACCTTTAGCCAGTTTTTTATAAAACAGATACAATTCTGTAGATTCAGTTTACCTAAGAAGACCTTAACTGCGTTATAGCTGAATCTGAGGTACCAATGGGGAATGGATTTTTATTAGGTCCAAGGACAATGAAAGCAAAGGTTAACACAAGAACCATTGAATGGATGCCATCTGTGAGAATTCAGTTCAGTAACTAACTTCAAGCACATGTCGCCCATTTAATGGTAATTGTGAATTGCCATCTGTGGGCTCAATAGATTACTGGTTGAAAATACCATATAATGGTGCCTGGCAACCAATTTACATCTAAATTATATGTTTGCCAGTCTCACCATGGATAAAAACAGAAGCAAGCAACCAATGGAGGAAAAGCAACTACAAGAGAAACATCCTAGCACATTACATTCCTTAAGCAATTAGCTTGCCCTGACAAGAAACAAACTTAGCAATAGGAGAAAGAAATTCAAATGCTGCTGGAAGAAAACGATTAGTTACCCTTCCAGGCCAGGATGTTTAGGGTAGAAGACCTTCCTCAGGCCCAACCTTTTGGCAGCCGAAGCAGTAGTCTCCCCAATACATGCAACTGAATTAGTCCACGACTCTGGCTCTCTAATAAGATTAATCCATGCACTGCAGCAACAATTGTGGATTATCAGTCAATAGAAGAAAACCACCTAATAGTAAGTTCAAATTCCTTTTACACGCTGGGATGAGGTTGTAACAATGACATATATGTGATTGAGCTGTTCAACATATTGTAAATGAAATCTAGAGTGTAAAAACACCAGAGTTCATCCCGTTGTAATAGAACCACAGCAAAGTTAAACCAATAATCCAGCTGCCAAAGGACCTCAAATAGCAATTCCCAGTTATCATGATAATCATGTCCAGCAGCTTAACCAAATTATTTGTAATTACTCAAAAAAGCAGATGCAAACTGACCGCACTGCAGAAGGTGAAGCCACTGCAACGACAGGTGCACAAAGTGCCTCCTTCAAAATTATCTCGTCAACATGACTAACGGGTATCTGAAAGGAATTACAAGATGTCAGTAGGTAACTCAAAGAAATGTGATACTTTCGTATTTGCTTGGAAATAGTAGTTCATGAATCAACTGTCATTGATCACCAAATCTAGTTGTCACAACCGCTACCATACTTATATCCGCACAGAAGAAAAGGTGAGAAAAATCAGGATCAGACAATCAACTGATATTTATCAGGGATTAATTTTCTATCAAAAGTCTTTATCAGGGAGCTATTATTCTTTAGACAACTCAATTAGAGGATAAGCCTTCCATGCACCCTGTATGGAAGCTCATTGTATGATTCCTAGCTATACATTGTATTACCATGAAAGATCCCCAGTGCCCAGTTTGACTCTCTGCAGGTATCCTTCAGGGGATTACAACGGGAAAAACAACAAATATCTTTATTTTTATAGCATCAGCATGACAAACATTACAAAGCGGCATACAAAATAATTTTTATAACTACTGGATAAAATGTTGACAAGCTGATATTTGACGAAACAAGCAATCCAATAGAGAATAAAGAAAAGCTTGTAAGCACAGTGAACTCAGAGGAACCACAGATATACCTTACCGTGGAATACGTGTTTAACCTTGTAACCTCAAATCCACGATTTGATAAGCCTTCTTCTGAAACAAATATGCAGATGAAATGATTCAATGCCTTAACTAAACTTGTATGAAATATGAATGCCCAGGTAGGAAGAGAAGAAGGAATATTGTAAAAAAGGGACACAATCACTCTGCATAAGTACAGTTCAATTAGTTGGAAGTTGTGACATAGGATACCCATTCACATCTGAATAAAGCAGCACAAGACCTGAGGACAATGGAGACCATAAAGGCCCTTGGTTAGTGCTCGTAATTCCATGAGTTTTCTATTACTGAAGAGCAGCATCCTAGGGAGTTACCAACTTCTTACTTAGCCATCAATTTTCTAGAACATCATCTGCTAGGTTAGCAAGCCAATAAATCATGTGGGATTTACTGTTATAAGTCTAAACCTTTTACAAGTAATCATAAGATAAATATGCTGAACATATTTTCAGCCTTTCAGCTCAAGAAACAGAGAGAGCACTTAGCAAGGTCATTCAACCAAAGTGATGGTACAGATGTCCTTTAAGAAAGAAGCCAAGAAAAGGAAATGCCAAATACCAATTTCACTGCTAGCTTTTGCGGAAGCGGGATACAAGACTCTGCATTTTTTATTGCCGATTCTTGGAAGCTCTGAAGCCAAGACTTTGCCGGTTGCTGCAGCGTAAAGCTCCCAAATAAGAAATTAAGGGGAAGAATACAGGCTAATGAGCAGAAAAAATTGCAAAGAACACCAACCAGCAAGCAAGTAATTACCAGCAACTATTAATCCTACCTTTTACAAAGATGCAGAAAAGAAAAGTAAGAGCACTACATGACTATGCAAGCCTTCATACAGAAAAATATAGACTTATTTGACAATATAAGCTAATATGTCGGCCATACACAATTAACTTTCTTTTGCATTCATGTAAACTGATTGTGCCTGAATACCTTTTGATGGTGTAAAAGCAACATTTAGTGTTCCGTCGCCCTGCATTACTTTATCAAAGATGCCAGCTGTACCAGTTCCAACCACTCCTACTTGTACATCAGGTGTTCCAGCAGCCCTAGAACCAGGTTTCATCTAAATCAGTATACATAAGAAGCGCTACACACTACATAAGCTGAAACTGGAAGATCTTCTCACAAGATCTACTTGCACCATCTTAAAACAAACATGCACAATCGTTCGCCTATACCCCTTATACAGACGAGCAATGCACATTGAAAAAGGAAAACAAGATAGTTTCAATTCTCCTAGTTCAACTGTTCAGAATAACTCCGAAAAAATTGATAAAACCTATTATAGAGGAAAGGATGGCACAAAATATTGGCACATGACGATTATCAATCTGAAAAGGAGAAAACTATATCATGAAGAACAGGAGTAATTCAAATCATGCACAAAATAATTGCTCCATCTACTTTTACCCTTGTGCTTTCTTTACAAAAGGTAGCAATAGGAGAAAAGATGTTAAACCATCTAACTCCACTATTAGTGAAAGAAATTTCTTTTCTACAGTCAACTTGAATAACAGATAATGAGCCTTACTTCCATGCTTCCAGAAAGACTGAACCAGCTTCAGGGGAAGTAATCACAATCCAATCAAAGCCATCATCTACTGCCATCGAGGAACAAGGGAGATGGGAATTAGTAAAGCAAATATGCAAATAAAAACTTTGATAAAAAGTATGCACAAACAGACACATATAGTCAGAAATCTAGTTAAAAAGAAAAAGAAATCTCAATAGAAAGCAGTCATTTTTTCATAGAAGTTCTAGTAACCAGAAATCAAGGCATGGCTTCTGCTGTTCTATAATGAAGCTAAGTTCATCGCGGATTCAATGTCTTGATAGGTCGTCACATTCTCTTTAGCACGAAAATAGCCATGGTAGGCTAATAGCACCTATGAGGCACAAAACATAGGTAACATAATTGTCTTGGCAAAAAGAAATTTCACTTAAGACAAGCCCCATGTTCATGCGTGACACAAGGCACGCGGAGAGAGAGAGTCAGTTAAATAATAACAGAAAAGCACTTGGCAGAACTCCTCACATACAAGGCCAAAAAGGAAGCTTCCATGGAACAGGCCTAAGGTCAGTCAGAAGTCTGCTGTAAGAATTGTTCTTCACAGACCCAAAAAAACATAAACTGTTCTTCGGTGATATCACATAGAAAAAAGTTTCATGACATCATTAAGACAATCGGAATCTGATACTAACCGGCCAAAATTGAAGGAAGCTTATCCAGATCAGGCCCCTTTGTATGCTCAATGAGAGGAAGCTCCAGACAGCTGATGCCATGCTTGTGCTGTTCAACACGTTGAAAATATCTTCTAAATATTGAAAATGTTGAAACACTTAACAAAGATAACTATTTTATCACCCCATCCCCTTCTTGGTCTTCCTCCTCCCGAGGCACCACAAAAAATATAAGCAGAAAGGAACCAAGAAACAGAGTAACATGCACTCGGGCAAAAATGGAAGAGTGGGTAAGAAGAACACAAATTGAAAAACTACAGCAACCGATTGGAATCATATACGCAGCATGCAAATTAGACATCCTTGTGAAGAGATTTTCATATGCAAACAAGTTGGATAGAGAGCGAAAAACAAAATCATAGCATTCTTATCTAGTGGACAAGTGACAAAACTACCCTAAGCATCAATTGATCAGATGTATCCTTGCTCAACTGATTAAGACAGCAAACCAATAGCAGGAACTGGAGATGCCAAAGGGAGATTACAAATAGCTATTAGCTGAATTGAGTAAGTGATGACAAGAGTGGGGATTTAGAATAGTTAGGATGAAATGTCACATGAAATAGCTATAAGTACTTAAATTTACTGTGATGTGCATGATTCTGCACAACTCTGTCAACCCAATCAACTATTTTCTTCTTTTGGGAACCAGAAACAAGGAGTTGCCATCCCATGTAGCAAGTCATCTAGAAGGGTTTATTTTTTTCTGAATTCCGTGAACCATAGAAATCTACGAAATGCTACCCAATTCCTTCGCCATGCCAACAATTTAAATGTCCGTGTGATCAGTGAACTCAGTCATGCCTACTACTACTTTTGGAAAAAAAATAAATAAATAAGCAACGCACAAGCTGAACATAAAAGCATGTAAAAAATTCAGCAATGAACGCGCATCCGGCGCATGAAATTTCAGGCACTTCGCTAAATTCACCACCTAACTAGCAAGACAAAACGTTCGAGAATGCAAACGCGGTAAAAAAAGAAGTCAATGTCGCTAGCACGGGCGCACGAGCAAAACAGAGCCGTTTGAACCACGAGAACCGTCGTTCACGTCATCATCATGTCATCCAGCAGCTGAATCGGAACACCCGCGGTCGATTCAAAATCAACACCGCGCACACACTCGAACAAACCCAAGAAGCTCACCCAAAATGGGAAGCGCCAACGACACGAAGCGAAGGTAAAAAAAAAAAACAAAACACCAGGAGCCAACACGTCTCAACGTGCAGGACCGAAGCGCCACGCACGACGAGCCGAAGACGAAGCACGGCAACCGCAATGCAGGAGCGAAAGCGACGTAATAAAAAAAAAGAAAGACAGAGCCAGAGCCAGAGCCAGAGCCAGAGCCAGAGAGAGAGAGGACGGACCAGAGCGTCGACGAGCTTGGAGTTCTTGCCGCGTTCTCTGGTGACGACGACCCTGGGCCTCGAACCGGCGCCGGCGGAGGAGGAGGGGGAGTCGGCGGTGGCGGCGATTCCGGGGGAGAGCCGGCGACGGAGGGGGTGGCGGGGGCGGCGGCGGCACGGCGGAGGAGCCGGGAAGAAGGGGAGGAGGAGAGAGAGTGAGCAGGAGGAGGAGGAGGAGGAGGCGAGATGGGGAGGCATCATCATTGGGTGGGGGGGGAGGCTGGGCGAGACGTGTTGCGCATTTGCGCCGTCCCTCGCAGGGCCAGCTGTTACCAAACTACGCACCTCTCCTCCCCCCGGGCACCGGGATTAAACTACTCGAAGAGAACCCCAGATATTTTCCCCGGGGAGTACTGATACCGTGCGCTCGAGCCCACGATAAGTTCGTGAGCTCTTTCCTTTTTACCTTGCTCGTCTTTTGTTTTACATAATTAATTATGATTTATAGAGAAAAAAATGTCGTGTTCTCGTGTACCATAATTTTTGCTGCGTTGTAGACGGCGGACCATTTTTTTCAATCACGCTTCCTACGCCTTTTGATGTCGTACTTGTGAATGGGCTCTTCGATATTGTTAATATCAGAACCGTTCGAACTGTCTGTCTTATCTAAAGAATCGTTCAACTTCTGCAATTTCTAGGTGTCACCTCTTTACGGAGTTCTGAAAATTTTTGTATTTTTTCTGTGGGGAGTCATAGAAAGTAGATGGAACATCCGCATAGCAATTTCGTCCTTCAAAAATCGAAAATCATTTTTCAAAATCCAAACTAGACCTCCATCGTCGTCGAGCCATCTCCATTTCCCAGGGCTCTGGTGCTCGATTCACGGAGCCGAGACCTCACAACCCTAACCTAAGTCTTGTATTGCCTCGACTTTGGATCCTGGACGCGAGGTCCCCGGCGCCCTCGCCGTGTCCTTGATTCCTATAGCTGGGATGCAGTCTCGAACTTGGGTCTTGGCAACGCTATACACCCGACCCCGACACCTAGATTAGGTCCTTGTGATCCAAACATGGGATCCCGATGCTTGGGCCATGTCCTTGCAACTCGAACAAATGAGCTATACGAATTTCGTATCCCCAAAAAAACATGGGAGCAATAAGTTTTTTTTTTTTTTTGGAACAATTGATTCAAGTCTCGAAAGTTCTCACAACATGTGGCAAAATAATGCAATTTCAAAGGCAAACAGATCAATCAAGAGGCATGGTACAATGGCCAAAAAGTGTGTGGTCCCTTTTTATGTTCGGTTTTTTTTTTTCCTTGTTCTTTCTCTTTGTCTAACATGCTCCATCATTCCAAAACTTGGTACAAGCCTTAGCGAACAATCAACGAATGGCTTGCCGATATCTGTTTTTTCCTCATCTAGTTTCTGTGAATTATGTCACTTGGGCAAGTCGCATCATCTTCCCTTGACTTAGATCATTAATCACTTGTAATACTCCTTCGAAAATACTTTAATATGATTTGTGGGACCATCTCCCGTTACATCAATGAATAGTATTCGTTATTACATCATTTTTATAGATTATTACGGTGGATACACATAGCTTTTTGCACTTACTATGAAGTCTGATGCTCTCTCTATTTTTGTGCAATTTAATTCTCAAGTGGAAAAACATTTCAACTGTAAAATCAATGCCCTTCAAATTGATAGAGGTGGCGTGTATAAGAAATTTGATCCTTATCTTCATCTCCATGGCATCCTACACTGTCTCTCATGCCCACACACGCCATAACAAAATGGTTGGGCTAAGTGCAAACATCGTCACGTTGTAGAAATTGGCATCACGTTGCTTACCCGAGCTTCCAATGCTCACCTATATTGGACTGATGTTTTCCTCAATGCGGTTTTTTTTATTAACCGCATGCCTACAACGGTGTTGGGTGGATTGTCTCCTCCGATTATCTATAGTTACATGTTTTTTGATGTGCTTACTACCCTTGACTGCGCCTTTATACTCGCCATAAACTTGAGAACAATGCAATGTATTTTCATTGGCTATTCTACTCATCACCGTGGATCTCATTGTATGCATTGTAGCACTGATTGAATATATATATCGCCATGTGGCTTTCCAGGAGCACTTGCTCCTATTCGCTAAATCACAATCTGGTCAATTGTCCTCATCACCGCCAAGTACCCTTGTTTGCATTAGTTATTCCTCTATTAAGACCCCATAGTTTCAGGGAGTGTCCACTACTACATCAATTCCATTAAATCCGTCTAATATAATAGGCAACTCCTTATCACAACTTCAACAATTATCTACTCCCACAATTCCATGTGGATTCTCTTGTCCAGAAGGTCCACCATTACCATCTTCTCAACCTCAATCACAACTTCTACCCATCCGTTGGTCACTAGTCTAAAAAATAACATTCGTCAACCAAAGGTTTTTCTCTCCAATAAGAACCCATCATGTTCTTGTTTTCACTCAAGCTTGACACCAAGTGAACCCACTTGTTTTTCTGTTGCAAACAAAGACCCTAACTGGTAACAAGCTATGGCTATTGAATTGAACGCTCTCATTCAAAATGGCACTTGGGAAAGTGGTTCCTTATCACCCTTTTATGAATGTGGTCGCCTGCAAGTGGATTTATCACCTAAAAATCAAGTGTGATGGCTCCATTGATAGATACAAAGCATGACTTATTGTGAAGGGTTTACTCAACAGGCTGGCTTGGACTATGATGAAACTTTCAGTCCAGTTATCAAACCGAAAACGGTTCGAGTTGTTCTCTCTTTAGTTGTTACATATAACTAGTCTCTACGCCAATTGGCCATCAAGAATGCATTTCTCCATTGCACCATTAAAGAAGGAGTCTACATGTGCTAGTCCTAAGGATTTGTTGATTCATGTTATCCTAACCATGTATGTCGTCTCCGGAAAGCTCGTTATGAGCTAAAACAAGCTCCAAGGGTTTGGTTTTCTTGGCTAAGCTCATACCTATTATCTATCGGGTTTGAGGCCTCCACTGCTAACTCTTCATTATTCATTAAGTGTAAATCTAGCCGCATTCTACTTCTTCTTATCTATGTTGAAGGTATTATCATTATCGAGAGCTTTACCTCCTCCGTCACCGAATTAATCACTCAACTTTGCATTCAGTTCGCAATTAATGATTTGAGAAATCTATCCTACTTTCTTGGTATTGAAGCCCATAGATCCTCTACTGGGTCGTCCCTCACTCAATCCATGTATGCTCTTCTCACTCGCACAAGCATGCAAAACCTTGCTCATTGCCTATGCCTCCCTCGGCTTTTAAGTTGTCGAAGCAAAGTGGCGAACCACTTACCGATGCCTCCACATATTGGAGTACGGTTGGGGCACTGTAATACGTTACCCTTACCGGGCCAAATCTATCCTTTGTTGTCAATAAAATGTGCCAATTTATGCATTGTCCAACCGTCGATCATTGGTTAGCCGTCAAATGGATTTTGCAATATCTCAAAGCTTCTATTCATCATGGGATTACCTTGCAGCCTATGTGTCAACTGACCTTCACCGCGTTTACAGATGCTAACTAGGCTGGCTGCCCTAATGACCGATAGTCTACTAGTGGTTATTGCATTTATTTTGGTCCCAACTTGATTTCCCGGAAAAAGCAACCAACCATTGCTCAGTCTAGCACTGAATTAGAATACAAATGGGGGCTGATGTAACCTCTGAATTACTATGGCTATTACAACTCCTTCGAGATCTTCGGTACACTCTCCATCGATCACCACTTGTTCTTTGTGATAATGTGGGGGCAATCTATCTTGTCGCAAATCCCATCTTCCATGCACAAACCAAGCACGTGGAAATTGACTATCATTTTTTTCGTGATTTAATTAGCAAGAAGCAGTTGGAAGTTTGCTTCATTCCTACATAGGTGCAAACGGTTGATGTCATGACAAAGCCTCTATCCATACCCTGATTTCTTATTTTGCGCAATAAGGTCATAGTGGCTCCGCCACCGTTTTGCTTGAGGGAGTGTGATAGAGTGAATCTCCCATGATAAAGTAATCTTCCACAATTTGTGTTAATCCCGTTGATAGAGTCAATTTTCCACAATTTGTGCCAATTTTGTTGATAGAGCAAATCTTCTACAATCTATGCTAATATTGTATGTTCTTACCTTGTGTAAAATCTCTTCAATTATGATTTTCCCACTCATGTACATGCTATAAATATAATACAAATCTCAACACCGATGAGTGTGCGATCAAATTTAGATTCATACTCTTGCAGAAATATTTTGAGGCGAGATTGCGAGGACAGGAGATGCACAAGGGGGCAAAGTGCATGCGCATCCCGTTTCATTGGCGAGACCTTCGCCAGATTCACAAAGGCGTTGCAGATTCAGGCGAGGACCCAATCATCGCCCATATCTGTTGGCAACGTCGTGGCCCTCATTGCCTAGCAGTAAGGCCAGCGAGGGTCACCTCGTCAATGACGATGCTAAGTGGTGCTCACCACCCAATGGCGAGTCCGGCAAAGGCCGTGGAATTAGAATTGACATAATGTAATTTAAGAAAAACATATGATGTTAGGACGACACATTGTCACCTTTCATCATTTTGTGCACTACAATGTTTACATCCATGGGTAAGCTAGCAAGTTTTGGATTGTAACACCTAGAGTTGGCAAAATGAGAATCCATATTTTAACTCATATTTAAAGGTTTGGGTCATAAATAAGTTGCAGTATAAAAAAAAACTTAAGTGGACCATAAATGGGTTACCTAACAACTTAATGGGTCTTAAATAGATTTTAAATGAGTCATAATGGGTTGTCTAAACAGCTTAGGTTGAATTATAAACATGTTATTTTAAAAAAATAATTTTTATTTTTTTAATTTTATGAATTTTTTTATATTTTCTTTATTCTTTCTTTTTCTTTCTTTCTTTCCCCCTTGTGTTTTTTTCTATGAAATCCGGCAAGGGTGGGCGACCCTCGCTTAGATGAATTGTGACACCCAACTCTCACATGAATTAAGAGAGGGGTTACTAGCAATATGCATTATTCAATAGAATTTAGTAAATATGCGTGATTTGCTAAGTAGTTTCAAGAGTGGTTGGTAGAGGTTATCCGATGGATTCTAGATTTCAAAATTTTGGACCCGTAAGAAGAAGGTAGGATTTAGGGTATGGAGAT